ATACGTGGATTTATTACAATACTAAATACAAACAAAATTCTCACTTGAATCATTTAAACAAAAGCTGTAGCGTTCCGGCATCGTACGTATCAAATTAATCTAACCGTCAATAAATAACATATTTTTAAAAAATTCTTTCGGTCTACACTTCATTTATTTCGTGTTGGTTTTTACCTGTAAATGGAAATATTACGCTCTGAAGATCACAATTTGAAACCAATGTGTGTTGTAAGGTATTTGCTATATAGAGAAAGATATTACGGTTAGTGTCTCAATTTATTGGTAAGTGGTGTGACCTTATGTAGTTTTGGCACAAATTATCGTATACAGTAGTCTAACTTCATTTAGCAGTAGGCCTAAGTTTTGGACCATTGCCGTATATTTGGGAGTTGACCTATACGGTAGCTATAAGCCTAACTGAAAATTTGGAACTCAAAATCTTGAGATCGATTTGTACAGTGCAATTTACGGTATCTATTTCTGACTTTTTTTACAAGAATTTTTTTTCTTTGGTTCCGGAATTAAAAAAGCAATAAATGTTAAAAATGCATTTAATTTTCCTTTATTTTAACTTGCAACATAAAACATATAAAATTCACCATCCGCACACGAAGTAAGAAACATTGAAATCTCACCAGAGTATGTAGATATGTCATGAATTTACTTCTGGTGTGAACCGAAATCAAATGTTAAAACGCTACCTCTTAAAAATGCAACAAGAACGCGGGAAAAAAATCTGCCTTGCAAGTTATGTATCGAAAGGTACATGATCGTATAAGCATATATCAAGTATGGCACATAACTGACTGACTATATAAAAATTACTATTATGATGTGTATTCTACGGTATTAATATTTTATAGGAGTTGATGTTGACTTTAATGTGTTTATCAGACAGATGATCAATTTTTAATGTTCGCTATGATATACAGATACAATATACAACGCATATAGAAATATTACCCAGTATATAAGTATGTGGTGTAACCTTATGTAGTTTTGGCACAAGTTATCGTATACTGCAGCGTAATTTCATATACTAGTAGGCCTAAGTTTTGGGTCACTGGTAGCCTACCGTATGTTTGGGGATGACCTACACGGTAGGTATAGGCTTAACTCAGAATGTTGATCTAAAACAGATGAGGTCGACTTGTACGCCAGGTCGACTTGTACGTCAGGTCGACTTATACGCCAGGCCGATTTGTACACAGCAATTTACAGTAATAGCTTACTAAAAGCGGATCTGGCCTTCAATAACTAATTATACGCAACTTAATTACAATCAACGGCAGATAAAGCAGTAACATTTCAATTATCGTGATCTGATTGCTCAAAGAAGCCAGATGTGTGTTTGTCGAAATATTGTGATTAGATTGCATCATTATTTTAGGCAATTAGGTTTATTCCGTTTCTTCTTCTATGTACAGCGTCCCTTCAGGATATGGGAGATCATGGCTCTCTACAACTTCCTATCCTTTGTGGCTCTTAGCAATCCTTCTCCCTTTGCTAAGGTTCCCGCCTCACGTTCAGCCATATCTACCCGAAGAGCTTGTGTATTCACACAATCTCTTCCGGTAGGTGGATCGCTATCTCTCTTGTCTTCATCATACCCTCAAACTTACCTCCGACTGCAACAAATATCTCCCACTAAAACTTGTGTTTGGTGAACATACTTGGCATTTTAACACAGAAATTAATATAAAATAATAAAATCGTAAGACAAATTCAGTATTCTATTAAGGCTACAGTACACATCGCGTCCAACTGCTGATACACTAATTGTAAACATTGACCGATGCGCCTTTTAACTCAGGCGGCCATTTAGACAAATAAGTATGGTATGCGTGTCATCTGCGCAATTTCCATATAATTGCACTTTATTGAATGTGATAGACTCTCCTGTCCATTTCGACGTACGAGGATCCGGCAACCTCATTCAGTTTTTATGTTTGTGTCGTATGTGACTCTCCAGTCCCTCTAGTGACCTGCATACAAACCCACGTATTGTAGAACAGCGAGGATATCGGGACATAAACACGGGAATATTTGCTGACGCTTTTAGCCGTTGTCTTTCGTCTCTACAATACGACTTATTTCCAAATCGAATAGACACATATCGTAAAAACAGAATTTCTTTGCAATTATGCTTAATTATTTCAAAGGTTACTTGGCATTTACTATATTGCATTGATGATTAAAGATTTTATATGACGCATAATTTTAAGATATTACGGTAACTTGTAAATTCAGTATACATTGTAGGGGTGAACTATATGGTCGGTATAGGCCTACTTCGACTTGCACGCTGCAATTTACATCATATATATATATATATATATATATATATATATATATATATATATATATATATATATATATATATGAAAGCAAATATATGGATATAGATCCAACAGTATGAAGAAAAAATACAGAAAAAGACAAACAAAAATATTAATATGCAATTATGCTGTATTAATGTCAATATAAAAGTCAACGTCCGACTTAAAGGCTTAAACACTAATATTCCATGGTCATAATTTATTCCATTGGAATCGTAAATATTTCAATTCATCAGACCTACAAATTCAAAAGGAAAACAGAAAAAAACAACTCCGGAATTAAAACAGAATTTGTATGTATATTTACCACTAATATTCTCTCTCTCTCTCTCTCTCTCTCTATCTATATATATATATATATATATATATATATATATATATATATATATATATATAGTGTCGTATACACTTCAGTCCCGCTAGTGACCTGCATACAAGTGTACATATTGTACAACAGCGAGGATCTCAAGACATAGCCACGGGAATATTTGCTGACGCTTTTCGCTGTTGACTTTCCTTTCTGAGTCCGTCAGTAGAACTCATTTCAAAATTTCTAATACAACTTGGCACAAATATCTTTCCAGAAGTTAGTAAAAGCCACATTGGCAGCTGAGAGGTTACACTTTATCATGTCTTTATACCTGACCCACAGCCGTCCAACAGTCCTTTGTCCACTGTCAAGCTGGTTATACACGAGGACCTTAACTATTCTGTCGTCACTCATCCTAACAACATGACCAGCCCAGCATTACATATATATATATATATATATATATATATATATATATATTTCTTTTAACATGACTGAAAAGGTACTTTTTGGTTCTTTTCTTGTATACGTATAAGTCACTTCTTATCTTGGCTTCATGAGCGTAAAACTTCAAAAGTTTATAGGTTCTGCTAAACGGCTACCCATTTCAAATGCTTCGTTTTGCTAAACTATTATAAATTATGGAGTGTTATATAGGAATAAAGTGACGCTGCCGGCACTTGAGTTTGAACATAGATTATCAGTGAGCAAACACTGGCGATCCCATTATAAAATTAAGTACACCATGTGACCATAGAGGAAACGCATAAGTCGCGTGATTTCTGGTCTATCCTCGATACTATACGGTTCTCCATTTCTAGTCTATTACTATCAAGATCTCTATTTCTACACTATTCTCTATTACTATACGGAGCGCTATTCTCAACTCTGTTTACTATACTATTTCTCTATACGGATCACTATACAGATTACTATTCGAGCGAGTATTATCAAGCAAGTACTATTAGCGCAAGTACTATTCGAAGGCGTCTGACACCAGCATTGTTCAACGTCGTTACTATAGTTGTATTTGCGATTACAAAGTCTCTACTACAACGAGAATTACGAAAGTGACAACAAGTATTCGTTGTCATCACAAAAGTGTGTCGATGCTGTTGTAGACGGTACAAAATTTGTTGAATGTCAATCCATTTTTATCTTACAAGTACGACTTTTACGTGGCCGTATCTATAATTAATGTTATTAATGGTTGGTGTCCTGTGTATTTTTATAATAAGGCCTTCCATTAATTTTAAACGTTTTCCAGTGGGGGTGCGTATCGCATTCGTGTATATTGCATATTGAGGTTGGTGTGATTCTACACTAGCTTAAATGTGTCCGTGTTAAGCTCTGGTCGGAGAGATGTAGTGTCAGTCATCATGACATTTTTATGGTTTTTTTTTTGTATAACATCAGTTATGAAAATATATACAGTGTATATATATATATATATATATATATATATATATATATGGATAGAGGAAGAGAGAGAGAGAGAGAGAGAGAGAGAGAATAAATCGAGAGAGAGAAAAGAAAGAAATATATAGACCATATACTGTTCTCAGAGAAATCTGTTTTTAACAGACGCCGCCCAGTGTTCGATCCTCGATAAAATCTAGGATTTCTAATACAGATTTTCAAGGTAAAAAGATCCTATACAACTGGAACACGGTTTAAACCCACTACTCATATTCTTTCATTCTTATACGTAAGCGTGTGTACGTGTGTATGAGTGTGAATGTGTAAATATCCATGTGCGTCTGCATGTTTGTATGCCTGTGTAGGTGTTTGAAAGTGTGTCTGTATGTGTGTTCGCACTTATGTGTGTATGTTTGCGTATATATGTATGCGCCTGGACATGTGTATATGTGTGTGCGTTTGTGAAAGCGCGTACGTGCCTATGTGTTTGTATGTGATGAGAGGAAGTCGGCATTTATAGTAATAACTTAGATCTGCCGATTTCGTCCCGAAGTCATATTTTCTTTCTACACGGATGTTATGTCAGTTCCCGGATGTTGTATATTTTTCTGAAGCCGTAACAGCAGCAGCAGCAGCAGAAGAAGAAGAAAAAGTAGAAGAAGACCATAAAGAAGACTATCACGCAGAGAGAAGAAGAAGAAGAAGAAGAAGAAGAAGAAGAAGAAGATCGTGAAGATCACGCATAATAATAATAATAATAATGATAATAGGAAGATCACGAAGAAGAAGAAGAAGAAGAAGAAGAAAGATCACAAAGAAATCGATCACGAAGAAGTAGAAGATCATAACGAAAAGGATCATGCAGGGAGAAGAAGAAGAAGATAATGATGATGATGAAGAAAGAAGAAAAAAAGCGAAAGAGGATGATGATGATGAAGATGATGATGATGAAGAAGAAGAAGAAGAGGATGATGATGATGAAGAAGAGGATGATGATGATGATGATGAAGAAGAAGAAAAAGAGGATGATGACGATGATGATGATGAAGAAGAGGGGGATTATGATGATGATGATGATGATGAAGAAGAAGATAATGATGATGAAGAAGAAGAAAAAATGGGGAAGAAGAAGAGGATGATGATGATGAAGATGATGATGATGAAGAAGAAGAAAAAGATAATGATGAAGAAGAAGATGATGATGATGATGATGAAGATGATGATGAAGAAGAAGTAAAAGAGGATGATGACGATGATGAAGAAGAAGAGGATGATGATGATGAAGAAAACAAAGATGATGATGATGAAGATGAAGAAGAAGAAGATGATGATTATGATGATGATGGTTATGATGAAGAAGAAGAAGGAGATGATGATGATGATGATGTTGATCATGAGGAAGAAGAAGAGGATGATGATGAAGAAGAAGATCACGAAGAAGAAAAAGAAGACGTTCACGACGATCACAAAGAAGAAGAAGAAGACGAAAAAGTAGAAGCTCCCGAAGAAGAATAAGATCACGAAAAGTAGCAGATGATGATCACGAAGAAGAATATCATGAAAAAGAAGAATATAACGAAGAAGAAGAAGAAACTCACGATGAAGAGGCAGATATCGACGAAGAAGATTACAATGAAGAAGTAGAAGATCAGGATGAAGAAAAAGAAAAAGAAGAAGAAGAAGGAGAGGAGGAAGAAGAAGAAGAAGAAAATCACGAAGAAGAAGTACATCTCGGAGTTCATGAAGAAGAAGAAGAAGAAGAAGAAGAAAGAAAGAAAGAAACAAAGAAACAAAGAAAGAAAGAAACAAAAAAAGAAAGAAAGAAACAAACAAACAAGCATAAGCAATGAACAAATCAAGCATTACCAAAATTGTCTCCGGGTCACTTGTACCGGTGGAAACTTTGTTCTAATAATATTTCAGTTTATCGCCCAAATTTGATTTGTTCTTTCCGCCATGAAATCTGGCAAAAACAGAATCTTCAGGCCACGTGCATGATTCTGTGTACAAAAGAATGTATCAGAATTGCCTATCCCCTACCAGGTGTAGCGGAGAATGAGAGAAATTGAAGAAAAAAAAAAAACAAGAGTCAAGTCTTGTCTTTTGATTTTTATTTTAAACCGCATTTGTTTCGGTTACAAATTGCATATCAGTCCATGCAATTCTGAGGAATTTTTAAAAAAAAAAAAAAAAAAATTTTCTCATTAAAAGAGAGAAATAAAAAGAGATAGATATATATATATATATATATATAGAGAGAGAGAGAAAAGAAATCTGGGAGAGAGAAAATTTGGGAGAGAGGAATAAAGAAAAGAAAAGAGGAGAAAAAACATTGGGAGGAAGGAAGAGAGAGTGGTGGATTGTTTCAGCTGAAATTCTTTCGTTTTGCCGGTATTGTTTTTTTTTTTTTAATGTCGTGTCCTTTCAGAACGTAAGGCTTGGAGAAAGCTGGAAGGATTTCTTATTTTTCTTAACTGGGAATTAACATTAACAGGAATTAATGGAGTGATTTCTTGTTTTCTTCCATGGTTTTGAATTAAGGATATTCCTTTTCCTAGACTTGTTGTCATCGAATGGTTAAGAACCCAAGACAATTTGCGAGTAAACCATGGCTGGGGGTTAAAAAAAAAAGATGGATCCATAGCATTCCAGAGGGCCATAGCACGAAAATGAACGAGGGCGATTTCAACTCACTTCGACGATTCCGTACATATAACAGCTACACTGAGCTAAACGGTCGAATTTCTGCAGCCCGCTACACCTGGGTATGACGATAAACTACATCTGGCAACATGGCCTCTGATAGGAAGATTGGAGTCTTTGACGCGTATGAAATCACTTCTTAATTGTTTATGGTCCGCAATAAACCAGGGTGGTAGCACCTGTTAAGGCCCCTGATATGGGCAAATAGTGAACCCCCAAATATTATGAAAGTATAAAAATAACAACAATATATCTCTATCTATAAAAGTCAAGATGTGTGTGTGTGTGTGTGTAACGAATGCACGGTCGCAATTTTCGACGGATTTGCACCAAAATTTACATGCACATGCTCCAAGTTTGTGGGAAGGCCAAGACCGACTTTGCATTTCCCAACTCCCATCGATAGTGGAAATAATCGATTTTTTCATGCTTCTACGAAAGTTTTCATGTAGTTTGCGGCCATTTTCTACTGGCCAGAGTGAGAGACTATAGCTGGCTGCCACGAATAGGCAGGAAGATTCTATTGGCTAGTGTGAGAGCCAACAGCTGACTCACACCAATGTTAGCTAGCATGCAAAAAAAAAAATCGATAGCTGCATTCGTCAGAAGTGGGAAAAATTTAAATCTGCATGCCACTTTACTCCAATTGGCCCATTCGCTTGCTTAAACTCAATGTTGATTCTGATTCCGCAGAACTGGGTTGGGTGTGAAAAAGTATTTGTTGTTAACATTCTTTTTTCATTCGGTTTTTCCAGTTTTGAGTCTTTTTTTTTAAAGCTGATCGTTTTGTGTTCATTTTGTTTAGGTTTTTTTTCGCAACAGATTTAATGTTTAGTATGGAGCTTAGAAAAAATTCGCAGTGTGAGATAGGCAAGAAGTAAGGCATGTAGCAACATCACCACGGCAAAGGTCACTCCTTTAAAGGCAAGGAAGGGCAAAAATATTTAAAGTCAAGTGATAGCGATTGCTGCATGAGTCGTACGATTTTTGAATCAAGCACGGGCAACGCCGGGCCATGCTGCTATTTTTTATATATTAAAATGACAAACAGTACTTATTTTTAATAAAATGATCAATAATACATTTTATAGCAAAATCACCAACAATACATTTTATCTGTAATTGCAGGCGTACAACTGCCTACAAACATTTAAACTTCAGTATTAAACAACCCTGTTTCATTCATTTTTACACTAATGCCCTTGAGAAATACTTGAATCCATCTCTTCTCTCCCTCTCTATGAGTTAAATAGCAAGATAAACAGGGCTTTCTTGCCTTGTTAGGCAACCGATTTAAGAATGAAAATTTTGAACTCCAAATCATGGATAACGCAACAGGAAACAACTCAACTATCTTTCCCAATAAGTTATGGCAATTCACAGGTAATATATAAAAGGAATATGTGGAGAGCCACGATTGCCTATAAACTGAAGGTACATGGCGTTAAAGATATATATGCTGCTAAACCAAACCAATATATGTAACCCGCGGGGAAACCATTTTCGTGATCAATATTTTCATCAAATTTTAATGTTTAAATTGATCAGTCGCTCCTTCCATATTTTGCAGTGGCAGTATTATACGTGACCGAGGCACAAAGAGTTAATCAGTTTAAAGGTCAGCTGGGGTAGTAGTTGTTCGTCTCTGGGGAAAGGAAGAAAACACGCCTTCCCCACTAGCATGTATTCTCTGTCAGCTACCTGTTGAGAAGTTATAAATATATTTTGTGGTAAATTCTCACCCCAATCCACCATCGATAAGTGTAACGCGAGAAAATGAACTTTTACTATTAGGGTCCCGTCCGGAGTTGATCAGGCAATGTGTTCGCTTCTGGGCCGCTGCATCTTTCCCTCATTACGTAATGACAATTTTATGTCCCCGAGTTAGTGACCAATGCGCTAGACAATAAGCACATCTTTAGGGTAGAGAAGAAGAAAACAGATACTAATGGTAATAGTAATATTAGCTGTTTCCTTATAAGGAAATATTCAGCATTCAGTGACCGATAAACAGTTTTACAGGAAAATAGTTTTCTCAAGTCCAGTATCTGTTATCTTCTTTTCCATTCTTCACGGGTGTTTCCTTCCTAAATTTTGGTTTGAAGTAGTGTGGAACATCAACATCTTAATTATGTTATTATTTTCTCTTCGAAAAAATGGATATGGCATGTAAATCCATTTTTAGCTCTTTTATGCAAAAAAAAAGTCTTCAGACTTGATGTTTAAAAAAAAAATTTGTTTCATATGTAGCGCCAAAGTAATTTTTTTTTTTTCATTTCAGTGATTCAACATAGATTCACGATTTGAAAGATACACAATCAAGGGAAAATACAATATTAAAAATAGAAAAAAAAAAAAATAAATAGATAATAAAAGGGTAAAAATAAGTAAAAAAATATAGAAGTAAAAATAAGATGTAAAAAAGATCAATAAATCAAAAAAAAAATAAGTGAGGGGAATAACAGAATAGAAAGAGATAGAAAAAAAAGATAGATAAAGATAAACATTGGTTTTGATAGATACATAGATAGATATGAACAGAGATTTGACATAGATAATAAAACAGAGGGAATAGGAATGTAATATATAGATAATATGAAAAGCCAGAAATGAAGGCTATAGATTGATTGAACAGAGTGGAATAGATAGATACATAGATAATGAAATAATTTAGATAGAAGAATGGATAGATATGAACAGGTGGAATAGATTACATAGATAGATATCAAAAGAATAGATTGAACATATAGATATGAACAGATGGAATAGATAGATACATAGAAAGATATGATATCAGATTGGAATAGATAGATACATAGATTAAAAAAAATATGGAATATTTACATAGATAGATTTGAACATAATAGATAGATACATATAATAAAACAGATAACAATAGATATATATAGATATACATATGGAATACATATATACATAGATAGATAGAACAGACAATAGATAGATAGATAGATATGAACAAAGTGGAATAGATAGATACATAGATATATAACAGAGGAATAGATAGATATATAGAACAGAGTGGAATAGATAGATACATAGATAGATATGAAAAGAGGGAATAGATAAGATAGATAGAAAAACAGAGTGGAATAGATAGATATAGAAATAGATAGAGAAATAGATATAGATACATAGATAATATGAACAGAGGAATAGATAGATAAATAGATAGATAGAATAGATAGACCTTGGAGTGAATAGATAGATAGATAGATAGATAGAGAGATAGATAGATAGATAGATATGATAGATAATAGATATATGATATGACATAGATAGATAGATATATAATAGATAGATAGATAGAATAGATAGATACATAGATAGATGGAATAGATAGATGAATTAGATAGATAGATATGATAGATAGATAGAAATATGAACAGATAATAGATAGATACATAGATAGATTGAACAGATTGGAATAGATAGATAGAACAGACTGGAATAATAGATAAATATAGTGGAATCTGGTTTTTTAGATAGATAGATATGAACAAACAGATATAAATATGAAAGATATATTATAAAACATATAATATAAAAATGGACAATTATTTTTTAAGACATTTTTATGTTTATACATTCTTTTTATAGATACAAATATTTAAGTAAATGCTCTGTTTATAATAAACAGCATTAAGCAACATTTACCGGCCTGAATGTCCGACAAATTTTCACAGAAAATATTCGTCCTCCGACAGGATTACGAACCTGTATCCTATACGGAACCGTCATTTCGCTTGACGTGCCTTTACCGATTTGGCCACGAAGGATCGTTCGGTTAGCAAGGTCGAATTTACTGTCTTTAAACTTTAATCTTCCATGAATCTCTCACGTACATTCATATCTGCTCATGGCGTATCAAATGTAAAAAATGGCGTCACACATTATGAAATGGAAAAAGTCCGACAATTATTTTATTATTATGTCTTAATATATATATATATATATATATATATATATATATATATATATATATATATATCAATTTTCATTTGGGGCGCATGCCCTGCTGTAGGGCATGGTAATATTTTGTGGGGTATGCGTAGGATGGTCACCCTTCGGCTTACTTATACCAACAGAATAAGGGTGCAATTCGAGAATGAGTTATTAACAGTGAATTGATTTCTAGTGAACTTAAATTTCATTTTGTCTTATTATCTCATTATTAAAATGATCAAAGTATATTACAGAATAAGTTTTCATTCAAATATTTTATATTTCTACTTTTCAGTTCTCTATTATATGTTTTGAAACTATATATATATATATATTTAACTGTCTTTTTGCTTTTTTTTAAATTTTTTCTCTTTCATGGACGCCAATGTCTTTGGAGACTTGTTTAGAGACCAAGCTTATGCCCTTTTACGCGTCGTTCAAGTGAATTGCAGTAAAATTTTGAATATGTAAGAATTAAATATTACAGGTCGGCACGCCAATTTTAGAAATACCAAAGTGGAGCATGACCCCAAATCGCTTCGTACACACACACACACACACACACACACACACACACACACACACACACACACACACACACACACATATATATATATATATATTTATTTATTCATTATCTATACGTTAAAATAATTAATTATTTATTATTATACGTGATTATATAATTATTTATACGTTAAAATTAACGGACTTGGTCCATTTTACTTAGTCCATTTGACACCCCACTGCGCGTGCTAACTGCCCAAAGTTGAAGACCTCATAATTACCATCAGATAGACACATACACAATTACGAATGCAGAGTAGCATCTGATGTCCACTTAGACACACAAGAATCTTCACAAACTTACATGCACATAGAAATTAGTATTTGAAACTTTTATATTATATTCTTACTCTGTCCTGGGCATTGAGTTCTACCTGGATTCTATCCTCTTAGAAATGAAATTTATATATATATATATATATATATATATATATATATATATATATATATATGTATAGATCGATCGATCGATAGATAGATAGATAGATATCAGATTATTTTACGAGTGCTACAATGTAAACCTCTACTTCTTTCTGCATGATCATTTCATTGCTTACTAAATCCGTTCCTCAACTCGTATTTTCTGGTGAGAATAGCGGCTGGACACGCAGCAGGATTGAAGACAAGACCTCTTATAGGGTCATCCATCATGCACAATGCGTGTAGTCTGACCACTATAGCTGTGTATGCAGCTAGTGCAGTGATGCCATGGCATTCTTGTGTGGAAGGCATCCTAGACTGAAGTCAACGGTCAGCGTGGATGGATTCTCAGATCGAATCAACGGCTACGTCAAGCCTTCAACTTGGAGGAGATTTACCGTAGTTTGATCTGGAGAAGGATAGGCTCCGGCCGGTCTACGTGCTCAAGACATTTGTGGGAGTAAGAGAGAAAGCGGAAATAAAATCAAAAGGACGAAGAAGAGAAAAAGAGAGATTAAAAAAGAAAAGGAAAGAGTTAAGGCTGCAGGTAGAATGAAACAAAGAAGAGGAAGTATAAGCTACCAAGAAACATCGAAACTCAAATTATTGAAAAAGAGATATAGAAAATGTGTGCGAGAAGGCAATTCCAGATAGAAAGAAAGAAAAATTACAGAAGGAGAGAAATTCGAAATAAAACCTAAAAGCGTATCATAATTAAACTGAGAGAAAAAAAAAACATGGCGTATAAAGGGACAAAAATCAATGTTACATGGAATCATAGATATCGTATATTTTTAGAATTCCATACAAATTCTTATATTTTTCATATTGTAAATTCATGTTCTTTGTTAACTATAGATATATTCTTCAAGTGTAGCACGAATAATCCTCTAAGTTATATATACTTAGTGTTGGTTTTGTGAGTTCTCTTCTAATCAAGGACTTTAAGTGCTTTTCAAATGTTATCTTGTGGAGGCGAACAGATTTACCACAACTTCATAGGATATTGTATACGCTATTTTTAGTCATAGATTCTTTTTCAAGTCGGTGTGAATTTTAATAAGACGGCTGCGTAGAGTTGTTTCCGAAAACTCTCATCATATGGAACATTCCAAAATACTTATTATTTTTATGATAAAAAATATCTTATAAAATAATTATGAATAACATGCTATATGTGGGTCAGTATTCAATAATAATAATAATGGCCGTAGCATCACGTTTAACACCGGTTCCCCTACGATCACCGAAGTTGAGCAACAATGAGCCTGGCCGGTACACAGATGGGTGTGTGCTTAAGAATACCAGGGACTGTAGGCTTGGAGGTGCGGCTGGTGTAATGTCTCGGAATTGTTACAAAGCCGAGTTCTAATTCCAGCCGGGTTTGTTATATTCACTTATGCGCGGATAAAATATATGAATCCATCTCTTCTCCTCCCAGATATGGGTTAATTAGTTAAATAGTAGTAGTAGATGTCGCTGTTTTTGCATACCACAGTTTGAAATAAAATGAGAAGATTTAAACACGTGATACATGAAACTAATTATATCCGCCATTGATAAATAGAAAAGAGAATTTGGAAATAAATTACATTGTCATGTTTCACATGTTCCCCAGATGAACAAGCGTTATGAGAAAAAGAAAAAACCCTTTTCACAAAAAGAAAAATTACATTAGTGAAGCACAACGTGATTTACAATGAGCATCTGGATGTTACATCTACGCATTTCAACTGTAAATTGATTAGACCTTGCTGTTAATCTAGTACCACACTTAAATTCATAAAATCTAGGTACCACAGAAAAAAGTTCATCAGAATAATTACCATGAAACTATTTATAGAAAAGTCATAGTAACGTCCAGATTCACCGTGGCCTCAAGCGCCAGTCTACGTACTTCGAGAAACGATGGTCCTCTCTAAAGCCGACATGATTCACTCGCTTACAAATTTTGGCGTGTGGGGGGAGTGCTATCGAAATTGAATGGCATTTAGCCTGTATTACTGACAGTTGAAATTTATAAAATATTTCTCCTGAAAACGTTCTTCAGCAAAATATGTTCCACAAGACTAGTAACTGTTATTGCTCTTTCCAGTACTGATGGGTGTTTCTTTCCTAACCTTTTCTTTGAAGTGGTTTGGAACTTCAGCATCTTGATTATGTCATTATTTTTGTCTTCGAGTAACGTATGCTATCCATTTTCTTCGTTGCTGTTGTTGAAAATTCTCAAGTGATGAGGTTTCTGTTACGCTGACAAAGTTCATCGTGATCTTGAAGGACCAGACGACGTGTTTGGAAAGAGTATGGTCCTCTCTAGGACCGACAGGATTCACTCGCTTGTTGCAGCTTTCTTTTGATGTGGGGGGGGGTTCTCTCGAAACTAGGATGGCAACTAGTGCATCTGGAGGACTATTGTGAATTCAGAATAGAGGAGACAAGAAAGAACTTCTCCAGTGTTTTTACGAAGAAGTCCTTCATTTCACTGATAAAAAAAGAAAAATGATATTAAAACTCTCAGACGTGACAGTATATATTAAATAATTTCCTCGCAGATGAAAATAAGACGAACCAACAAGGGATATGTGTCTATACGAGACCGTTCAGCCTCTTAATTGCTGTTTTCCTCAGATCCATTTGACCCGGGGTGGTAGTCCCTGTTAGGATCCCAGTTATGGGCAAGTAATGAAATTTTAAACAAAAAATCGACATTAGATTTTTATAATAAATTGACCAAGAATACATTTTGATAGCAAATGACAATCAATGACACGCTAAAAAAATAAAAAAATACATTTTTCTAGCAAAATTATGAACAATACATTTTATGACCTACAAATAGCGTTCTGGGTATGATGATAAACTACATCCGCGTCCTGGGTATGTCGATAAACTACATCCGCGTCCTGAGTATGGCGATAAACTACATCCGCATCCTGGGTATGTCGATAAACTACATCCGCGTCCTGGGTATGACGATAAACTACATCCGCGTCCTGGGTAAGACGATGAACTACATCCGACAACAGGGCCTCTGATCGGGAGGTTTTGAGGGGTGTGGAGCCACCTCTTGGTTGCTGGTGTTCCCGGGTCCTCCCCGACCCGGGGTGGTGGCGACTGTTGGGGTGCCAATTGTGGGCAGGTAGTTAACCACTAAACCGGCGTCAAAACGTGTAGAAAATAGGTTTTAATACCAGCAATTCATTCTTGTAAAACATTATTACCAGCAATGGATTTTTGAGGGTAAAATTAATACCAGCAATACATTAAAAAAAATTACCAGCAATACATTTAAGAAAAAATTACCAGCAATACACTTTTGTAAAAAATATTACCAGAAATATTTTTTGAAAAAATATTACCAGCAATAAAAAAAATTGTCAGCGTTAAATAACCTATTTAGGTTGATACGCCGTAAACTGACCAAACCAAACCAAACCAATCATCTACAAATAGTGAAAACCTAAATACTATGAAAGTATAAAAGTAGTTTTTTTATAGTAAAAATACCAGTGGTACATATTTATATTAAAGTTACCAAAAATACATTTTTTAATTAGAATTACTAACGATAGATTTTATAGCAAAATTCGCCAACAATACATTTTATGTAGCTGAAGCCACACAACCGTGTTCAAAATATTTAGATTTAGGCATTAAATAATCCATAGCGTTTGATATTCCGCTAAAAAAAAATCTACTAACCAACCGGGCAACATCAATTAACCATGCAACTATTCAGTAAAGCTAATATTTAACAAGCCCAGGTTTGTTAAATCTGGCAATATTTATTCTTTTTCAGGGTTACCCTGAGAGTTATTGGGGCTAGAAAAAGAGTTTCTATTTTTGAAATTTGCTTTTAACTTTTTATTTTATTTGAATTTGAAGTATATCAACTGATGTTCCTTTGTACGCCTTTGCTGATAACAACGATTCTATGTTTAGTAAATATAAATTATCTGCTTCACATCATTAAGGCGTAAAAAGGCAGTGTAAAGCATATAATTAGATTCACATCATGGGGTAAAATATTATCATCTCTAACTAGACAGAGCCTCACACGATCAACACAGGAGACAAAACGCCAAATGCTGAGTTTGTTCCGGTTAATCTTAGGCGCCGAAACGAAGTAGTGGACGTTTAATTATTTATTTTGATTAAATTATCCGACCTCCGCCCTGTTCATCTAATTAAGATTTCTTCTTTTTCTATACACTATCAGGATCTCCACAACCTTCTACAGTGTGAGGCCCTCTTTGCCACGTCTCTCTGCCCTTTTACCCACCATCCATTCATACAATCTCGTCAGGTGGTAGCTGGTCTGTTGCCTTACTCTGTCTCTCGTGGTCTCGATCCATCAGAGTCGTTTTTTCAAACCCTCGCCATTTACCCAAGAAATTAATTGTTTACTTGATTTTCCTTATTCGGTCTGCTATCCTCATCTTCATTGTCATATTTACAAGGTTTCGGATGTTGTAAGCTTCGGCGCTCTATAAGTGTTGGGGCGCAACCACCTTCTGACTGGTAATGGACTTATCCCTCTACGATATAAGTCAGTGCTAGAGAGAGTAGTTGTGTTGTGCGAGGATCAGGTTCAGCGACAGCAGTCGAGATCAGGTCACCATTACATACCGTTGGACTGTAGACTTTGCTATTGTTACTTACTAACCGGCGTTCCTTATTACTAATCACTTTTGTTGTTAATTACCTCTTAAAATATACCAGTATTTATCCCTACAACTGTGTTTGTCTTTATTCGAATACACACACGCGGGGAACACTCCCAACTCAACAATAAGTGATTGGAATTTCGAACTGGACTTTTTATTTCGTCCAACGGGGTAGATTGCTCTAGTTCCACGTGCCATACATCTTGTAACTCAAATCTCCAAGTTTTTGTTCACCCCAGCATGGAGAGTCGAGTAGTCCAACACTCTTCAGGGAATCGGAAAGACTTGAGAGTTGTGGCTCCATATTACTTAGGGTGTTTACAGGGCTTGAAATCTCTGGCCCCATAATCCCCAGGGAGTGTAAAGGGCATGAGAGCTGCCGCCCCATATTACCCAGACAGCGAGAGATGAGAGCTATGACCCTATGGGACGATATCTATGGTGCCATTCTCCTTATTGAGTTTGTAGAACTTGAGAGCAGTGCCACCATTCTCTTCAGGGAGTGTAAAGGACATGAGAACTGTGGTTCCATATTCCTCAGGTTACCTAAAGGATTTGAGTGCTGTGGCACAATACTTTTTAGGGAATCTAAATGACTTGATAGCTCGGGGTGTCTACAGGGTGTCTTCCAATTCTGAGCGCAAATCCAAAAGAGGACAAGAGGGATGATAAAGAGTCAAAGGATATTCCCTAGCGGTCACCCATCTAGGTACTGGCTAGGCTCGGCGTTGGTTAACCAGTTTTTCAACGTGATATGGCCGTAAGCCTGAAAAAAAGTGTTGTGGGGCTCTCCCCTTTTTACATAAGATGGACTCGTCCAAAGTATACCTATACTGACAGAGAAAATACCTGCTGTTGAGATACGTTAGAGATACGTGGAGATACGTTGAGACAGGTTGAGAGATACGGAGACAGACACACGAGTGTTCTTCTCGAGCTATACAAGAGTTGAAGATATATATATATATATATATATATATATATATATATATATATATATATTACTGCCTTACTCACAGAGACTTGTACATATACTTTCTACTAAGCCGCATTCCTGGAGTACTAATCTTCACTTCAAGTCTGTATTCTTACGTTTAATACACTTATTTTTC